GTGTGTATGTGTGTTCGTCTGTCTGGGTATTTCAACTCGCTAACCACGCAAGCTTTGAAGCTGAAATTCTGCTAGTGTGTTCCCCAGCCAGGTACCACTCCAAGACCACGGTTTCAACCTTCACGCACATCTGGGCCCCACGTGCGAGCACGTGAAAGTTTCAGCGCGGAAATCGCTAACTCGTGAACGAGAAAGGCTAGAAAGCTGAAACCTTGGGAGAATGTTCCTTACCCATGTATGACAAAAAGATTTCAAATTCAGGTGCCCAGGAGTGCCCGGGGCTTACGTTACGTATGGGCACGTGGAAATTTTGGCGGGAAAATTCATAACTCGAGAATGAGAAAGGCTAGAAAGCTGAAACTTTGGGGGAATGTTCCATACTCGTGTACGACCAAACTCAGCTCTTTAGGACCGCCAGGTGATCACATACGGGCTCGTGAAAATTTTGGCGCCAAAGTCACTAACCTGAGGACGGGAAAAGCTAGAAAGCTGAAACTTCAAGGGAATGTTCCCTACTCATGTACGGGCAAAATCAGGTGTTTAGAAGCGCCCGAGCCCACATATGAGCGCGTGGAAATTTTGACGCGAAAGTTACTAACCTGGGGACGGGAGAAGCTAGAAAACTGAAAATTCAGGGGAATGTTCCCTACTCATGTACTGGCAAAATCAGGCGTTTAGAAGCGCCCAAGCCCATGTGCGAGCGCGTTGAAATTTTGGCGTGAAAACTGCTAACCCGGGAACGGAGAAAGCTGGAAAGTTGAAACTTCCGGGGAATGTTCCCTACTTATGTACGAGCAAAACCAGGTGTTAAGAAGAGCCCGTGCCCACATACGAGCGTGTGGGAATTTTGGCGCGAAAATTACTAACCCGGGAACGGGAAAAGCTAGAAAGCTGGAACTTTACGGTAATGTTCCCTACTCACGTATGACCAAAAGATTTTAAATTCAGCCCCTTAAAACCGTTCAGTACTCACGTACGGACATGTGAAAATTTTAATGGAAAGACTGCTAACTCAGGAACGGGAAAAGCTGAAGGCTTTAATTTTAAGGAAATGTTTTCTGCTCATGTGTGACTAAAAGATTTTAAACTTGACTCTTCTAATGTGGCCCTTTTTTGCGGACCAACAACTTTTCATTTGTCGGGTCACTGAAGTCGACACCTGCAACTGACATACCAGATAGCTGCACAATTAACTTCCCGAATTTCGAGGGTCAGTATTTCACAGGGTTAGCTACCTTGATTCCTTGCCATCTTGCTACGGCACGAAAAGTGCAAAAACGCATAATCACACCGGCCCGCCTGGTGCGTTCCAGCCTGGTTTTTTTTTTGACAACAGTTATTCAAACAGAAAGACCGGAAAAATGGACCAAAATACTGCAAGCGAAGTTGGACCAACCCAAACACAGCCTGTGTTTCATTCCTCATGCCTTTTTATGAATCAATGAAAAGGCGTGCTGAAGATCGCACTTTTTCACTGTCATTATCACTATCATCAGCAGTACACCAGCTGCATAATTACAGTGTTGTGCCATGTAGTACAAAAAAATTACTCCTAGAGCCTAATAATGAATGTAACTTGGAACAAGGTATAACCGCAAGTGTTGCAAGATGGGTGCAGCTGCTTGTGCCGGCTTAGAGAACTGTGACCCGAGATTATGAGACTAATAAACATGGTGAGGAAAGTTCACAAATTACAACGAGAAATCATGCGACCATGCTGAATGGGCCACAGGAGGCTAGAACGCGAAAGCAGCAATTCGGCTGGTCACATACAATCGCAGTCTCGGTTCTTGCTGTCTAAAATGACGGTGACTGGACCATCGTTTTCAATCTGCACATTCATCATCGCTCCAAACCGACCGTCCTGCAATTTTTTTAACAAGCATGTTGCTGATGTGATACCGTGCAATTTCGCGCCTATAATCCCGTCATCTAATTTACTTCGAAATAAAACAAGCAGGTATGTTAAAATTTC